AAGAACGGATGAAGGATGGTTGTATCGATAGCAGGCTGGATGGATGGTTGTATATATGTCTGAACGGTATGATGGATAGGTTGCTGATTGGATGCATAGATGGCTAGATAGATGCATAGATAGCTAGATTGGATGCGTAGATAGCTAGATTGATAGTTGGAAGAATAGATGGTGTGCTTGAGGGATGGATGGTTGGATAGATTGCTTGATAAATTGCTGGTTGGATACATGAACAAATGATGAATGGCTTGATTGATGGATGGAAGAACGGTTTGATGGATGATTGTGTAGATGATTGGCTGGATGAATAGCCAGATAGTTTGACAAATGATTCGATGAATATACGAATTAATGGTTGGGTGCATGGATGGCTAAATAGTTTAATGGTTAAATGAATGAAGAGATGGTTTGAGGGATGGATGGTTGCAGGAATGGCTTGTTATATTGCTGGTTAGATGGTTGAGCGGATGATGATTGGTTGAATAAATTGATGTTTTGATGGGTGTTTGGAAGAACGAGTGGATGGCTGGTGGCTTAGATTGCTAGATGGATGGTTCGATAGAGGGATAAATGGTTTGATGACTGGATGCCTTAGTAGAAGAATGTGAAGATTGCTGGATGATTGGATGACTGATGGGATGGTCAGTTGGATGTATTCCACCCTGAGTTGAGCTGTCCCACTCTGCCCTTCGCATCGATGCCCAACTTTGCGCAGCCTTGCTTTATCTTCGCTCTCTTTGCATTGCTATGTTTTGCCTTGTGTTGCGCTACCGTGCACTGTTCTGTTGGTCTATCACCTATCATGAACTTGGCACTCATCACCCGACGCTTCGCTGCATTACCTTAACCTGCCTGTCTTTGTGGTGCCGGCCTTGCTTTGAGAAGCTGCCCTACCCTGCCCTGCTCCTCGTCACCCTGCATGCTTCACCATCCCTCTCCCTGCCCTGCTGGCTTAGCCTTGCGCTACGATATCCTGCACTTTTGTTCGCTGCACTGCTCTGCCTTGCTCCTCCTCGCCCGGTCACGCGTTGCCTTGAGCTCTCCTACCATGGCCTTGTACCTCATCATTCGGCCATGCGCTACCCTACCCTGCCGTGCGTTTCCTCGCCCTGCCCTGCCTTGCGCCTCCTCTCCTGTTACGTCCTAGCCCTCCTCGCCCTGTCCTTCCTAACAACAGCCTGCCTGGCCGTGCCCTGCCCTACTAAGCCTTGAACCACCCCGCCCTGTGCTCCTTTATTGTGCCTCCCCCTCCTGCCGTTCGTTGCCCTACCCTGCCTTTTCCCTCCTCGCCCGCCCCTGCTTTGCACTCTCCACCCGGCCCTGATTTTCCTCGCCCTGCTTTGCCCCTCCTCACTCTGACCTGCCTTGCGTTGTCCTATCCCGCCCCTCCTCGACCTGCCCTGTCTTGCTTTGCGCTCCCTACCCTACCTCGTCCTGTCGAACCCTGCCGCTCCTCGCTCTGACCTGCCTTGCGTGGCCCTATCTCGCCACTTCTCACTTGCCCTACTTGCTTTTGCGCTGCCCGGCCTTAGCTTGAGCTGCCGTACCCAGCATTGCCCCTCCTCGCCCTGCCCTGCTCCACCCCTCTTTGCTCGCCCTGTTTTCTTATCTTTGCTGCAATACCCTGCTCTTTTGTGCGCTGTCCTGCTTTTCGCGTTACCTTTGTGCGCTGCCCTGCTTTTGTGCGCTGCCTTGCTTTTCGCGTTATCGCGTTGCCTCCCTCACGCAGTCCTTCTCGGCCCTACCATGCCTTGATCCACCTCACCCTGCGCTCCTTTACCCTGCCATGCCACTCATCGCTCTGCCCTGTCTTGCGCTGCCCTACCACGCCCCTCCTCGACTTGCCTGCACTGCCTTGTTCTCCCTACCCTGCGTGGCCCTGCCCTACCAAGCCCTGAAAATTTTCCTAAACACTGCTTTATATATTACAGCCTAACGAGTAAAATTTTGTTTAATTCTGACAGCTTAAGAAGCATCAGACATGTGGTATGGCTTGAACGTGGGGAGATAGGCAGACATGATTAAAAATTTAATAGATAGATTAGGACTTTAAGCAAAATTCTCATGAAACGTTGTGCGCTATTTTCACAGCAAATGGCTATACTTGTTATTGCCCGATGTTCTGGTACCAAACACCTAAATCTAAACTTCAGCACCATATGCAAACTGTGAAATTTTCCGTTTTTCAAACGAAATTTTAGTTTTTCAAATTATGAATCTAATTAGCAGAATTCACTTTTCCAGATCTTTGTGGGGTTTTCAAGACAGAGCTAGCCAGTTGCATGATCCAAGAAACTTTTCACGTGATCTATCTTACGTATTTAAAAAATTGGATTAAAAAATGACATCCAGATATTTGCAGTCAATTTCGAAGCCAGATACTAGGATTAAAATAACGATGCAAGTTTCAGGCAAGAGAGAAAAGTACCGGCCGAAACTCGCTGCGAAAGGTTATTGGTGGCATTAGTGGGTAACAATTTTGAAGGATATTAGTTTTGTTTTCCAGCCCCTAAAATTTCCATTGCTGATTTCCAGCTTAATTTCACCTCCATTCAGTTCTCTAAAGTTATTCAATGAATTTGTAATCACAATGAGGAGCGAGCGTCATTACGAGTCAAATTGTGCATTGAATAGTATTTAAACATGTTAAAAACTCGTCGAAACGCTGAAAGAAAACAAAAGAACAAACGAACAACAAAGAGCGCCCTTGCTGCGGAATCCGCTCACAATTCACAAAATAAATTGGCCTTGTAATGGCACATCCCTACATCCAAAGGCATAGTTTTTCTGAGTCAGGTCGTGAAATGCTCGGATCTTTTCAGCCGACTGTTTTCAGCCCGTTTTGACTAGAAATGGATTGCAATCAATTTTGATACCATAGACCTTAAAAATTCATTTGAATCCATTTAGAATCGATTCAATTTGATATTAAAATGTGCTTCAAAAATCAAAATCTTCAATCAGTTCTAAATCGAGTTAAACCTTTTTTTTTGCTTTCATTTTCTACGTATTTGAGTAACAAAAAATCAATTTCAATCAATTTTTATCAAATTGAATACTCATTGTATACAGATCATCTAGGCTATAAAACAATAGAGAAATAGTGAAAATTAATTTTTACCGAGGGCTATTCAATTGATTTTTTATTTTGAAGTTTAGCCTGAAAATAAACTAAGACGATACCTAATATCTAATTTTTGGCACCAAAAAAGAAATGTTCTAATTTGATTTTCTAATTGAATGTTATTTGCATAACAAAATTGAGCCCAGAACATTGATAATGAAAATGATATTTGAAAAAGTTTTGCGTAGTTTTGAAATATTAGGATCATTATGTAAAGTTTTCATTACGCTGGGAAAGCTGATAATTAAATTCTATTTCTTTAATTAGAAATCGATCACCTTTTTTGCTACTTTTACAAATTTGCTGCTGGACAGTCAGTTTGATTTCCTTTTATGAAATGAAATGAGCTTAGAAAAACAGAAAAATCAAAATTGGGTTTGAATAACCTTTACGACTTTTTCCTGAAAAAAAAAGATCACCAAGACAGATATTAGAGTTTATTACTCAAAAAATCAAATTTGCAAGTCATATTTGCAAAAAAAATATGGAACGTAATTATTTTCATCAAAACTGGAAAATATTTAATGATTTTGATTGATAGTAGAAACCACTTGAAACTACGAAAAAAAACGACAAACATTTTTCGTCACTAACTTTTTCGTTTGTAACAAAAACAGGACCTAGTCGCATTCCAACTAAAGACCTCTATCGTCCCAAGCATGAACTTTACCTCCCCTCTTTAAGTTACAAGTTGACATTACGAATTCGATACACACACACAAAAAAAGGAAAAATAAGCTAACAATTCTCTGATTTGCTGAACTAGTTAACCTGAAAAAAAACTATATTCTGATTTTATATTGCTAATCAAAAACGTAATAGCTTTTATAACTTAAATGTGCCGTCTGTGTATTACATCAGACACCGCATCTAAAAATAGTTTTTGTTTTCGATTAGAAACTTATTCCAGAAGCATGCTATTACTTCGATTTGCCAGAAGCATGCTAACTTATCTCCGTGAAAAACTTGCGCAGTACGAAAAATCGAATCTAGGATCAGCTGATAGCAAAAAATATCAGTTATAATCGCTGCGAATTCTATCTAACTAATTTTTTACACAAAGACGAAGCTTCACGAGAACACGACCAAAAATCAGCTCTATCATGTTAAATAAAAAAAAGTAGAATTAGGCCTCGAATTAGAAAAAAACTCGGCTACGTGTCGGATTCTAATCTGCGACCTAGCACATTTGGGTCTAACGCACTAACCACTCAGCCACGGATGCGTAAAATTTCCAAAAACTAGCAACCAATAATTCAGCTACATATGCTAATGAAATGCCAATGGCATACAGCAAAAGTAGCACCAAATACAAAAAGACGAAAGTTTGCATGTAATTAATTAGAAAACATTAAATTATGTATAAACTATGCATTTTAAAAAAATTGCGGGACAGATTGAGTTAAAAATTTCTGAAATTGAGCTTTTTAGTTTGCTGTTTGAAACAAATAACTCTTTTCGGTTCATTTGATGAATTAAAAATGCATTAAAAGTGTTAACTTTTTACTAATCAAATGCCAAAGCACATATGATATTATACTGCTACTGCAGTCTACCGATTCAAAAGTGCCACCTAACATAGCACTTTTATTTGCGACTTAGGTTGGAAATAAAGACAGTTCATACTAATACACTTCGCTTCGCAAGTGTAAATTTATTAAAATGTATGAACGCAGTTCTGTAATTTAAGAAGCATTCAAAGAATTTCTTCTGAAAAACAGAAGAAATCATTAAAACGGTGTTAAAAAAGCCTGAACTTTAACATAAGGACCGCACTGCGGTACCTACGCCGACAAACAAAAGGCAGATATACTTAAGTCTGAAATTTCTTACAGATTTCCACAAAATAGTTAGCGAATGCGCTGCCAAAAGTAGGGCAAATATAAAGTATTTTGCCTCCTTATGAGAGTTGTGCAATCGGAAGATCGAACCCAGGATCACCTGATTGCAATGACAACATATCCGAAATTAAATGCACGTGAAAAAAAATGGTTCTCGTTCTCTAAATTTCCACGCTTATTTCTCTCAGCCATGCAAATATTGAATTTATGAACATTTTTACAAAATGGGGCAACTTTATAAGGTTTGTGTACAACTAAACTGAGGTCAAGGAGCGCAAGCGAGTTTTCACTTTACAACAACATTGAATCGGGTTGGCAAAACCAACGAGTAATAATCAGCTAACAGCAGATACATGTTTGATTTTTAAAATGAAAGAAAATGGCAGCTAAACATGTGACACTATAATGGATTGAATCCCCGCATCAAAATGACTGAGTTTCAGCAAAGAGCATCAGACACCGAGTACTCAGAAATCTAGTTCCAGACAAATATAAGACAACCAAAGTTTCTGAATGTTTTATTTTTGCTTCATCTTCACCGTATTTCTTCTATATTTTCTATATTACTGGTCAGATATCTCCGAATATGTTGTTGGCAGGCTTTGGCTTCAAGTGAGGGTTCGCATCTAACATCGCCGCTTCGAACTTGGAATAGGCGACGTCCAAGTCGTCGTTAACAATGACGACGTCGAAGTTGCCAGGAGTGGTTCCGAAAGAGGCATCTTGTTTCGCTCTGTCCAGACGTTTCTTCAGACTCTTTTCAGTTTCAGTGTTTCTTTCTCGTAGACGCGCTTCCAGGATCTCCATTGAAGGAACATTTATGAAGATGTAGAAACAATTGAGACCTAAGCAAACCCCTTGTTAAATCTTTTGTTTAACACCTTGCAGCGCTAGCTGTATCATCATCAGGAGAAAAATTACAGCGAGCCTCAAACATTCAATAAATTTTATTATCTCGCAATCAAATCTTCAAACTTGCAGATTAAATGCTTTTTCTACATTGCCAAAAAAAATCTTCCACTCAAAAAATGTCTTGATAAAAAAATAAATTCCACTCTCAAAACTAGAAGTCGGTCACTTTTTTTAACACTTTTTACAAGTTTTACACTTTTGCTGTTCGATAGCGGACTTTGCCTTCCTTTTAACAAAGAAAATGAAGTAACTTAAAAAGAAATCGAAATTCAAACCGCGAAGAAGTAAATTTGAACCTGAACTAAATTTAGGACTATTCCTGAAAAAAAAACATTCAAAAAATCATCTCGACCTATATACGTCTCTGAACTACATTCATCGACTCTTAAAAAGTGCATATATACCGAACGGGATTCATATATGCATTTAGAATTATGAATGCACTCCCTATGTTATTAGAGCATTTCAAGACTTTTCCTGACACAACCAACAGACAAAGAGTCAATCAACTCAACGAAACTGAAAAAAACTAACGTATTTTTTTTTAAATCTTCAACTTTCGAATTTCAAAGAAAAAATATATGGCCTTAGATATCTTTGAATTTCAAGTACAATTTGAGATTGGTAGTTTTTGATACTACTCAACTAAATTTGAAAAAAACTGAAGCTTATTTTGCCTACCATTCAGCAAATGATCTCACCTTTCTTCTGTTCGTCGAGTGCTTTCAACTGCTTCACTCCATTCATCTCCAGGTCCAAGAGACAAACTGGATTCCCTGCCTTACTCGCTATGTCAGTCACCGCCTTCTTAGAGCTGCCATACAAATTGCCTAAACAGTCAAGGGGAGCATATCAAAAAACATATAGCTATAGCTCACAGAAATTTAGAAAAGTTTCAAAAAGTCAAGGATGAGTTTTTATAATTTTTCAACATTCGGAACTTGAAGAAAAAATCCCCTAAAATATTTTATTATTATCACTTTTTTCACGAAAATAACTATTTGAGAAAATTGGAAAAAAAGACATATTTTATGGTCGTTCGGCCGAAAATGGATGTCGCGAAATAGTACCAAAGAGGGGACCCCTTTGGTGGCGAGGGGTCAAATCCGCCCTTACATCCGCCCCTAAGTTAATGTTACCTCCAAACTCTGCCCACTCGAGAAACAGTCCCTGGTCTATCATGTGTCTGAAGTTGTCTTTTGTAGTAAAGTGATAGGCCACTCCGTCCTCCTCTCTTGGTCGGGGACTCCGAGTCGTATGGGACACCGAGAACCTGAACAAAAAAAAGAAACATCAACCACGAGTATATGTTAAATGATGCTGTTCCATCTTTTTCTCAACCCTGATTGTGCTCTTACTATCTACAATATACAAAATATCTATATTAACATTTCTGCGGGTGTCTTTCTCATATCGCCACTCACAACTTGGATCCAACATCGGAAGAAACACAAACAAAAAAAACTAAACAACGCCTAAAAATGGGTTTATGGGCACAATCCGGTTAAATTGACAAAGTTTGTCTACTTGTGAACATTTCCGTTTTTGGCTTAAAAAAGAGCTCTGAGTCAAAAAAAGCTATTCTTTAAGATTCGACGAGAGAATTAATTTTTTTTCTTTCCTTCATGAATAAATGACTTCAAAAAGTGGAAAACTTACAGGAATTTGTTTTTGTAATGTTCTTTTGAGAGTAGTTTGTTAACCAGGGTTGATTTTCCACATCCACTCGGCCCACTAACAACCACTGGTCTACTCATTTTCGCCACTCGCTCTCTTTCTTCAGATGATGATAAAGATGGATTACTACTGCAGTCACGAACAATTAGAGACGAGCACCAACAGAGTCTATGGTTCGGGAAGAGCCAGTATTTTCTACTGAACAATAACAGAAACAATGATGTCCTAAATTTAAACTTCTAAATTTATCTTTTTCTATTCAACACTTGAAAACGAATGGCAACGAAGATGAATTTTTCTTCTTACTGAAAAATTATTATCATATTCTCAAGTTTACTGTCCTAAATTGATGTTGAAATATTTTAAGAAGCTCGTTCACAAAGCCTCATTTGCTTTTCAGCCGGAATTAAAAGAACTTTAATTTTCGCATAAGACTAATTTATTCGTCATGTCCGCCATCAATTAACTGGCTAGTCTAGCCAGATTATATATTATGGACTTCACTTACGATGATGATGAAGATGACGATGATAAAACACGGATTAATCCGAGAGGCGATCTTGAGACTCCAATTGTGACTACTTTAATGTAATGGAATACAATGAAAAAAGATACACTAGCAGCTAGAAATCTACGAAATTCAAGTTCCACTTCATCCACACAAGCGACAGGAGAGAAGAGAAAAACGTCAGAAAAGACTGTTCCAATCTCAGGTTTCAACACTTCGCCACATATATACTTAACCTGAAACGTGAAACTCAATTCGAAATTTCTATTATATTCAAACAACAAAAAATTCTATGAAAATTATTTTCAAACAAAAAACTGTATGAAAATTATATTCAAACAACAAAAAATTGTATGAAAACTGTCACAAAACGAATCCAGTTTTTTTTCAATTTCACAAAAGAATTACGTGGAAACATTATACTTTGTCAAATTACCTCCTGTTGATCTTGATAAAAGCACTAAATTTTTCATAAATAAAAAGATAAAGACGACTGACGCTACCATTAACATCGCTTGATCTATTTGCGCTACTGATAGTTCAAACGCAGCTAGAAACAAGTTAAGCCAATGATCTAATTTTTCAAAATACGATTTCACTTCAAGGATTCCATTTCAATATTCATTAAAAAATCACGACTCAACAGTCGTAAAATTAGCAGAACGCAAAAAAAAAACACCCCTTTTCAGACCGATATCAATTTTGAAGGTAACAATTGTCATTCAATTTTCGTGTCTTTTTCTTTAGAGTTCAAGCTTCGAATCATTAGAACACAATTACCGAGATAACAATAATGTAGATTAAATTAAAGCTGATTTAATTAATCAGATGACAGAACTTTTTTAAACACATTTTCATACTGAGATTTAAGAATTTGATCGGTTTTTTAATAGACTAATTTTCTCTGAAATGTTCAGATGGAAAAGGACTTCATTTCCAGTTTCAGTGCTTCCATCTCTTGTTTCAACCGGTCAACTTCATTCTTCATTTTCACCACTCCGTCTGATGTTTTGCGCACGTGAGTCAGTTCTGCAGCCGCCTGCAGTTTGATCAACACATGCGACCTCACAGACACAAACTCACGGGTCATTTTCTCACTCTCCTGTTCACATTAAGGGGGGGGGGGGCGATAGAATACAGAATGTAACAAGGATAGCCGGTTACTATGCAGGTAGCACAGAATGTTCTGACCATTAACAAAAATACAAAAAAAAATTCAAATTAGTGTCGTTTTTTTTTCTGTGTGGTGTAATTAAAAGACATGAACAAAAAAAAAGAAAGTAGGCATATTCGAGTTTGATACCATAGCAGATCAAAGGTTCCCCGTACAGTTTTAAAAATGAAGAGCGCGTTCAGTGACGGATTCCTTTAGTTGAGATCAAGCAGAAACTTCAGGTGTGCAAAATTCTAAGTGTGAAGTGAGGCAGTTAACCTGCTAACAGGTATCTGCCAACCTGGTCAATTAGCACTGCGTATACCACGGTCTTGGAAGCGAGTTTCAAGCCTGGTGAACATGTCACGCTTTCCACCTTGCAAAAAATACCAGCAACCTTCCAGTATGCTCTAAAAGTTAACAGCAAATCGAGAATGCATGTCCTACACGCGCTGGTGCAGGTTGGAGTTAGAGACTTTTTGTAACAGGTTGCACTCCTAAACGGTCCTTATTTAAGCCTGAAACTGCTTAAAAAAAACTACCTGCGATCTGAAAAACATAAAAAAAATGATAAAGTCTGCTTTCCCCTCAGAGCACACACACGCGCACAATACTTTTTTGGTCATAACGAAGCAATAAGAGACCACTAAATCGATATTAATGAAGCCGAAAATTATTAAGCCGATAAAAAGACGAAAAAAAATAATTAACAAATCGAGCTGGTAAAATTACAACCAATGTGAAAAACAAATTTCGACTCGGCCGGATTTTTAAAATACTAAAAACAACAGCAGTGAAAATTGTTTGCAGCTAAAATAAACAATTCTTAGATGTGGCAACTAAGCCGACAAAACATGATCAGACAAATAATAGGCCGAATATTTTTTTAAACCGGAGCATTTATCAGATTCGAAACCAGTAACTTTGCTGTCCTACGCGTCTGCGTTACCACGAGGCTACGTGTGCAAGAGACACGATGAAATTTGAATTCATTATGAACCAATGTACCACTAGGAGTCCAATGAGTCCTGTGGACAAAGTTGTTTACGGGAAAAACCTAATACCCGATTGCAATACCCTTGCTTATCGCAAGGGTATTTTATTTTCTTTGAATTCAATTCGCTAGTTTTCATCGGAAAACTTCTGAAAGCTCCTGATTGAAGCCTCATAAAAATGATTGTTCTTTGCTCAATAAAGATCTTTTTTAATTTAAGCTTTCGGGCCTAGGAAAACTTTAGCCATTTATACATATTATAACCGCTGAAAAAAATTTACCTCGGAAAATGAAACGAATGTTATTCCAAAATATAGAAGTGAAAACTAAACTGAATACAAAAAAACAAACGGAGAAGAAGATAATACTGAACAGAACTATAAGTGACAAACACAGGCGCAAAAAAGGGCCATTAAATTCGCGAACAAATCTTTTAAAAAGGAGCAATTTACGATGGACCTTGAAAAAAAAAATTAACGCACTGGTGGACCGAACTAACAACATGTAATTAATTTCATAAACATTAACTTTCCCACTAAACCTGAAAACTAAATTTTCCTCTTTCGTAATTTTTTGACTATGAAATTCTACGGTTGATTTGTTTGTAAGCAAATTGCGTCTTTATATTTCAAATTTAAAAAAAAATGCGATTTCCAAATTAAATAATAACGCTGTTGTTTCATATTTGTTGAAATGCTTGCTGAAACTTTGCGAAAAAATTACCAGGAACCAATACTTGACGCTAGTCAACAGAGCTGTGAAAAGCAGATTAGCAAAAAACCAGCCAACACGGCAATAAATTTATTGATCAATTCGCTCCTTTATTTGCAATCGGTCGTTTTTTAGTCCGCAAAAAATTTTAAAAATTAAATCCTTTTTTGATACATTCCTCATGACTTTTAAACTTTAGATTTTCGATAGTTTGCCTTCTTTTTACACGGATGCGAAGCTTCGCTTCGCAAACACAATTGAGAATACAAAAAGCAGCTCTATAGTGTAATAAGAAAAAGTAGAAATAAGCCTCGAATTGGCAAAAGTTCGGCTAGGTATCAGATTCGATCTGAGACCTAGAGATTATGAGACTCACGCAATAACCACTCAGCCACGCACGCTTATTACATCACAACCGCTAGCCCCAAAAAAGCAGAGAACAGATGCTATGAATTTTCAATGCTTGATCGTGATTATAGCAAAAGTGCCACCAAATAAGTGAACACTTTCTACTTTCGATGAACACTTTTTTGCGAGTAAAGTTAGAACAAAAGAAGGTGTTTACTCGTAGTGTAAAGTCAAAAGGTGCATAGTGTAAAAAAAAAGAAACGAACTGAACTTAAAAAGAATTCGAAAGTTGCACTACGAAAAACCTATTTTGAGCGTGAACAAGTTTTAGGAATTTTTCCTGACAAAAAGCATCACAACATATTTAAGTGAAAATCAATTCGTGCGATATTAAATTCAATGTCCCGAATTGGAAACTAAAATTTGCCACCAATTAAAAAATGAAACTATTTGTTTCGGATTTGAATCTGAAATATGCCACCAAATAAAAAAAGCTATTTCAACGCTCTGATTCGAATAGAAAAATGCCAGAAATGAGGCCACATGAGCACTTTATTTGCAAAATGGATTGGAAAAAAAATTGCTTTGTAGTATTACACTACGCTCAGCAAGTGTAATCCCTTGCTATCGAAAAAAATATGTGTGTACTAAATCACAGCTTCAGCTTAGAGCAGTTAACAGCTGCACTCCGAAATCATTTACATTCACAGTTCCGAGTTCTACTTCGAAGAGTTCCCATATTTATGGAGTTGGTTGATTCTATCGCCCCTGTATGCACGCTAGACATGCCGAAGACACAGGCGTCAGTTGCGGACTTGAAACAACATCTTTGTTGGTCTTTTCAGACAAGTGCTCGTCAGCTTTCGATCAGTGATGACCATTTCAATACACTTTTTAAGGCATTTCAACTCAATCAATTACACGAACAATTTGAACAGAATCTATCAAACTTTTTCAAGTTTTTGGTGTTATTTTTCAAAATTTACGAATGACCTACAGGGTCATTAAATTAAGAGCTAAATAAATGGTCATAACGTGCTGAGAGGTTGCTTCTGACGTCATCTATGCTGCTCACAGACTGAGTTTCAAAACTATTATCCATATCTTGGTTTATTTTGATTTCAGAATTAAATTGATTTGCGAGAATTGAACCTGAAATGTCCCTAAAAAATTTACTACAATACCAAGAGTACTTTCAACTAAATCAAAAATACTTACAAGAAGTCACTACCGCCCGACCAATAAAATAACTAAATGAGCTTCCGAGTAAATTCGTTTTGTAATCTAATATTCAAGACGACCCTTTTAAAACAGTTAGTTCGTTAAAATATTTTTCTTGGAAGATTAAAATAGAGATTATTTAGACCACAATTAATTTGTTCAGAAATTGAAAACATCGTATTCAGTTTGTTCTCATTTTTGTCCGCGTTTAAAAATAAAATTAGCAAGAAAATTTCTGAAATATAATATCACCAACAGGCTAAAACGTCTTCCACTACATAAGAACCAACATGATTTTTTTCAAGGTGGGATCTTCCAAAAACATTGGAATGGTCAAAAAATCTTCCAAAAATTGGTTCGCTAACTCCTAAGTTTGCCGAAGCAACGTCATCTACCACAAAACTTCGAAATGTTTTAAGCTATTTCATAGGACGAGTCGGTTCACAAAAATTTTTTCTAAGCAAGCTCATCAGGCGATAAAACTAACAAATATTTCAAGGGGCGATTCATACTTCAAGGGGCAAATCATTTTGCAACAAATTGCAATTTTCTAATGCGAGCTCGAAGACCGATGGCCTCATTGGAAAAATTCAAGTTCTTAAATAGCACGAATCAGTTTGTAAAAAGTTGGAGTTTTTTCTAATTCTAGCTAATCAAGCGATTGAAACTTCGGAGTATTTGTAGATAATTCATGTTTTTTAGCAAGCTCATCAGCAATAAACCTAAGAAACAATTCAAGTTTTTTTAAAAGCACGAATAATTTCGCAAAAATTTGCTAAGCAAAGTAATCAAGCGATGAAACTTCAAAATGCTAGAAAATTTTCATGGGGGCAAGTCTGTTCGAAAAAAAAGAAGTTTTCTGAGACAGCTCATTAAGCAGTAAAATTTAGAAAAATTCAAGTTTTTTCATGGCGCAATTTTCTGAGCAAGTTCATAAATAAATTGGTTCCCAAAAGAAGAAATTTTTTTCAAGCAATCGATCGATACAACTTTAAAGCATTACTGTTTTGGCTAGCGTGAACGAAACTGTTACGAAAAACGTAACATTTTTAATAATAAGTAAAGTTTTTATTCCGCTAGAAATCTGAAAATTGAATTCCACTTTCGAAAATAGAAAGTTCACATTTTTTCGCGTCATTTCCACGTTCGTATTTGGAGTGCTATTTACGTAACTTTCCGCAGATAAATTTCAATTGAACTCAAAATTTGCATATATACCTAAGTTCATTCATAAATGCATCAATATGTATGAATGTACACCTGTAGTTATTAGAGCATTTTCTTGAAAAAAAATCAGCAAAACCTATATAGGAGTCTTCATTATGTTCATTACTCTTAAAAAACGCAAGACAAAAATTTTCTAGGCGAGAATTTCAAGGTCAGTTTCCATCACTTTCTAGCAGCTTTTGTGAAATAACTACTAAAACTCAAGCTAAATTTTGGCTATTCTATATTCTTTAACAAAAGGAGAAGTTCGTTGTTTTTGGTTCCCTCATCTTATAAAGGAAAATAATCTCGAAATCCCTTGCGCATAAAAAACGACAGGTACTGTCTAGTCTTGAAGTTGGATCGAGTTGATATTGTCTGAAGCACTGGGATGAAAAAATCTTCTAGAATGCTCCAGATTCAGAAAGTTTAGTTCTATAAAACTCTTGTTTAGCTTGGCTTATACCAATTTCTTAAACGTTGCGCTCGATAGCCGCATCTTAACCATGGCTCCTTGTTAGTACAATAAACATAATACCATTCGTTTAATAAATAGATATAGATAGAAGGATAAACTAATGTGTGGCACACGTGAAATAGCGAGAATTCTTTTCCTCAGGTAGCTTCATCACACTTTCTTGCAAATATCTCAGACCGGGTCATTTGGATAAAACGAAAAAAAAACCGTTGAAAACCCTTTTCAAGCTGACTCAAATTTCCTAATGAACCTTTCGAAAAACGCGATTCGAAAGAAACGAGACAATGTATACGTTTTATTTCAGCGAGAATTTCAAAATTTATACTTTATTTGAAATCCAAGTACCGCTAGATTTAACTTCACTATCGATGGAACAGACATTTACAAACAGTCAATAAATAAGTTCACAGTTATTGTGCTCATTCACACAAAATAAGGTGTTTATTTTTCAACATTTGAGCAAAAAAACAGAAAATCTCAAAAAATCATTTTGTTCACAACCAATTCAGTCATTGTCCATTTTTCTTAATTTATCAACTTTTGTGACTTGAAGATATTTCACAAATTATTGCAAGCAAAAATTAAATTTCACCCAGGCGATTGTACGCTTCAGCAGCAGAACTGAGCGACTGACTTAGTTTAGAAACAACATTTAACAATTCAAAATAGGAGCTTGAAAATCCAAAAACAGGATCAACATCATCAAAGTTTGAGAGGCATCTGTTTACTTTCTGTAGCTGTAAAGTCAAATTGGATATGGTCGTTTGCAATGCAATTTTACTCATCTCCGAAAAATTATCAATCGAATCAACCCGAGATACTCGCCGAATCTCGTCTCCCAAGTGAAAAGACTCCTCGCCAATAGATACTGCAGAAACTGGGTTGTGCATCGACGTTGTCGGTTCCTCGACATTATGTTTGCTCATAGGTGCTGCAAGGTCGGCTTTGTTACTATTTGCAGCAGCTGGAATGTCGTGCACCGCTGTCAATTGTGATCGTGAGAGATTCTCCGGTTCGGCTCTTACCGCAGACCCAGTCGCGTGTTCTTCAACTTCGCTCACTTCTTGCTTCAAAGCCAATTTAGTCTTTGGGGCACCTGAAGATATAATACACAATAAATGACATGTTTATTCGAAACTGATTCCAAGAATGTGTTTTTCAACGAATGTATACTTTACATAACTTGCAATACAGAAAGACAAAAATAATCATTATTTGAGATAAACAAAATTTATAATAGTTCAAAAACATTTAAAGTTTTGCTACCTCTTTGAAATATGTCATATCAGCAAAAACCCTACAAATTAAACTTTAAGCAAAAAGAGAGAAAAGAAATCAAGAAGTTGTTTTCAAAACGAAAATTAGAGCTTATCGCATTCAATTAAACCATATAATGTTTACACAGAGGTGAAGCTGCGCTTCACAAACAGTTGCGATAACACGACCAAAAAGCAGCTCTATCACATGAAATAAGAAAAAATAGAAATAAGCCTCGAATTAGCAAAAACTCAGCTACGTTTCGGATTCGAATCTGCGACCTAGCAAAATTGAGTAACCCCACGGATGCTTAAAATGCCGTAAAAACTAGCCACCGATAACGCAGCTACATATGCTAATAAATTGCCAATTCGATGCAGCAAAGCAGCATCAAATACAAAAAGACACAATTTTGTTCATTTGATGAATTTAAAATGCATCAGCTGTGTTAACTTTTTACAAATCAATTGTCAAGCCAGATATGAAATTACACTGCTACCGCACATTACTGATGAAAGTTCCCGCTAATACACTTTGCTTCGCAAGTGTAATGAAGCTCTTTCTCTGTATTTGATGCTGAAACCCATAACCAAATTATTGCGTAAAATAATTTCGTCACTGAAAAAGAGATAAATTGAATGCAATTTTTCAAAATGCCCGCTAAACCATTCGGCTCATAACCACTAACTAACAGTCAAATAATTGCGATTTTCAATAATTACCTTTCTACTTTCAATTCTACAGAAAGTAGAATTCTCGACGATAACCGGCTCCTGAGCAAGTATCACAGACGGTTTCCACCACGGTAAAAAATATTTATATTAGAAATTTTCAAGTTTTTCAAGTTTTCGGGCTATGAAAATGCTATGTGAAACCTCAGAACTTATTCAAGCTTAAATTTATTTTATAGCTTATAATATGATTTACGCTCTCTACTCACGCGAAGTTAAACTAAAAAACAAAAGATTGAAGACGGTGTTTCTCAGCACTGTTGAGACTTTTTAGTGCGACCCACGACTGTAAGGGCCTCAATATATTATACCACTAGATCTATTCTAATTATTACATGTGGTACCTGAAATTGCATGAAAACGAGAGTGTAAGAAAAAACCAAAACACAACAAAGTTGAAGACAAAGTTCTTCCCAACTTTCAGTATTAGGATCGTGGTACTTTAAAAACAAAAAGACATGAAAGATATGAAAAACACTAAAAACAATTTTCGAAAAGTCAACACAGTTTTTAAAGAACTTCTCCATTTAACGTTCTTGTAAGACTATATTGAAGAAAAAATAAGTAATTTTAATTTTTTTGTTTGGAAATTTCAGAATTAGCCGTTTAAAACTTGAATAGCAAAAGAATTTTTTGCATCAGACAAAACATTTCAAACAGAAAATGAAATGAATTGAAACTCTGACCTAAAAAATAAACATAGCCAGCAGATAGTTGGAAAAGTGTCAATGAACACAAGAAAACGAAAAGAAGATTACTTGTAAATTAAAAAAAAAACAACGTCAAGACTTCAAAGAAATATATGACCTAAAAACAAAGAACTTTTTAGAAAAATTATGATTGACATTCCTTATAATAAAAATTAACCCAATTTGAGCGAACTGGATCAATATGAAATTATTTTTATTCTGCTGAGAAATCCCACTTTCGAAACTAGTCGTTCACGTTTTCGTTTTTTCGCGTTACTCGATTGAGCGAAACTTGCTTTTCTTTTAGCAACCGAAAAAGAACTAAACTTAAAAACAAATCAAAAGTCAAACCTCGAAAGACTAAACTCGGCTTCAACAAATTTTAAGACTTTTTCCTGAAAAAAAAACAAAAAATCAACTCGACTTAAACAAATGTCTTCATTGCGTTCATTGATACTTAACAAAGGTCCTGATAAAATTGAAAGCAAAAATTAGCCGAAAAAAATGGACTTGATAAAAAAACCTTGGAAATAAGAGAAACGAAAAAAACTATACTGAATCTGAAAAAACAGTGAATAAACGATAGACAATTTAACTGAAAACTTCATGTAATCAGCATTTCAGCAGCTGCTTCTGAAGATTCGAGAACAGTAACAACTGTTGGTAGCAAGGTTGTTTTTGTTCCGACCATTAAAAATGGGGAGGAACATTGTATTCGTGTGTGTTTTAGTTTTTCTTTCTTTTTGTTTTCCACGCAAAATCAGGTACCACAAACAAACATCGGACTGGGGTGAAAGATATTTTTAATTTCAATTGTCTAGCCATTTTTCTACAAAATTTTTTGTCCAATTGGCTTTTATTAGTCGAAGATGCCTAAGTTATAGTTTTACATCAGATCCTTTTATCAGACCTCGCAAAAAAAACTACACTAATTTGAAACAAAACTTTTTTGTAGCTTTTAAAGACTGGTCGGAACATTCTGCGCTACTTGCACAGTAGCCGGCTATCCATGTTCATTTATTTCTTTATAACAAAATTGAAATTTAAATAGAAGTAACTAAAATTAACAGCATAATGCTTTGCAATCTGCTGACTGTTAGCTATGTGTTAACTTCAACCAGAAAAATTCTGCAATGAAATTCTAATTTCGGTAATGTAAAATGAAAAAAGTAAAAACTTATATGGAAAAGAAAATAAAAAAAAACTGCAGAAAACAGTGATTAACATTACCGCTGGAAAAACTCAAATTTTCATTTTGTGATCTGCTGTATGTGAGAGCCTGTATTCGTGAAATAGTCAATTATATGTCCAAATACTAGTAATATTGCTTTCTCATTAGATAACAGCATATTAACATAGCCAATGGAAGATTGGAAAAGAGTAAAGAACGCAAGGAAACTGAAAAAAAAAACACTTCCAATAACCTTCAAACTTAGAATTTCGAAGAAAAAAAATAGATGTCTTTAAAGCTCTTTGAGTTTGTAGAACAATTTATCATGGACACTTTTTGTTTAAACTAACCCAATTTGAGAAAACTGGATCAATAGGCAAAACTTTTAGTACGCTTTGAAATCTGATAATTAATTTCCATTTTCGAAATAAGAAGTCGATCACGTTTTTCGTGACCTTCACACGTTTGCTTTTGATAGTGGAGTTTGCCTTCCTTTTAACAATGTAATGCACTGATCTTGAAAAAGAAACCACAGGTCAAACCGCGACAAATCAAAATTGAGTGTGAACAAGTTTTGAAACTTTTTCCTGAAAAAAAACTAACAAAAAAATCAGCAAGACCTATATAAGAATACTCACTACGTTCATTACTTTTAATAAGTTACCGATAAAAATATACTAACAAAAAAAAACTTAAAGACATTTTTTAAAGCTGAGAAAACGTTTTCGAACTACTTTTATACTTCGAGGTACGATTGATAAACTAAAAAATCGAACGATTTGAAACAGGTAATCTGATCTAAAACATTAACTTCGATCGTTTCAAGTCAAGTGTTTGTTTGTTAAACTATTGAAAACTAAGGACATAACTTCACCTAAATGGAAACTAGAAATAGAGGCTGAGGAACTATTGGTCGTGTTGGATTGAGTCCGCTTGAAACTAGTTGAGATGGTGGTATATGAGGCTGTTGAATAAGAGTAGCATCTGTGATCTCTTTCAGAAGAAGTTGCGTTCGCAGTTGAGTCTTTATCTCTGTGCTGCTCTTCAGTTACGGTCGACGACGCAGCAGCCGAACTAAAAAGAAAGTAAGAGAATAAACAGAAAAAACTATTCCCTACTAAAACAACTGATAGTAAAAACTGGAACAAACGAAATGTTCTTTAAGTTGATAGCAAAATTTTAAAAATCTATTGATTTCTATTATTGATAAACTTCTAAATGTATTAATTTCTGACTGACAAACAAACTTAAGGCGTTGCTTTGTCAATTTTTTTGCGGCAGTTGCGCGGCGCTAGTAAATGAAATTGAATTTATGGAGAAACTGAACGTCAAATCACAAGAAAATACAATTGAGTGTGAAAAACCTTTTTTTCTCAAAACATTGCCAACAGACACTTGGAAAACAGTCAATGCACGCAGGTAAACAGAAAAAAAACACTATTTTTGAAAAAATCTCATTTTTCGAATTTAAACAAAATATAGATGCCCTTGAAGCTCTTTGAATTTCACGAACAATTTATGTTTGACCCTGCTTTGAAAAAATTAATCACAATTAAAGAAATAATTAAGCGATAAAATGAACTCAATTAGAGAAAACTGGATTAGAAGGTAAAATTTTTATTTTGCGGGGTAATCTGATAATTAAATTCCATTTTCGAAATTAGAAGTCAATCACGTTTTTCGTTACCATTACAATTTTGCTGTTCGATAGTGGAGTTTGCCTTCTTTTTAACAATGGAAAAGAACTGAACTTAAAAAAAAACCAAAAAACAAACCGCAAAAAAGTAAAGTTGAGCCTGAACAAATTATAAAAGACTTTTCCTGAAAAAATCATCGAGACCTAAATAACAGTCTGAACTACATTCATCGACTCTTAAAAAACAAACGAAAAACTACAGGACATAAAAAAGTGTCTTTAAGCTGTTCTTTGAAAAATTTGAAAAATGATCTTTCAATTCAATTAATCTCACGTCCTTGTGTTTTTCTTAAGTCTTGACCTATATCTCGTTGAGAAGAGACCAGCAGCAACGGGAACCAAATATCAAAATCTTTGTCAAAAAAATTAAGCAGTTTCTATTCCTTTCAAAAACTAGTTAATTTCAATCGGATGATCGGTCAGAAAAACAATTAGGTACAGTATGCTATATTTGTTAATAACATTTAAGGCAATCAAATGAAAACTTGAAGAATTTTTTCTGTTTTATTTTCCATAATTTTGGAGTGCATGATAAATAGCAGCAAATACTGGATTCAAGAATGCGCTATTTAACTTAGGTTTCTTGATTGCTAAAAAAATCAACGTAGGGTAATTTTTGTTTATTTCTGTATCTTTTTGTTGCCATGTAATCGTAAATAAAAAGCGATGGTAAATAAAAAAAAATTGGCTGCAAGCTGCTCTGAATTAAATTAATTAGACGGTCTTGCAGCCAACTTGCGTGCAGTTTGACTTTTCTCTGAAGAGAGCGAGAGACTAGAACACACACACACACACACAGGGGCGGATTTAGGGGGGGGGGGCGGGCGGACGCCCCCCCCCCTCAGGGATTCGACCCCCTGCCGACCCAAAGGGTCCCCCCTTTGATACTTTTTCAGAAATCCATTTTTGGCCGACCGACCCTAAATTTTTTCTAAAGGCGCCTTTGGCGCCAATATATACTAACTTTGAGGGGGAGCGCGCGCCAAAAAAAACGCAATTTTTTTGTCAAAATTTTTCAAAAAGTGCCCAAAAACGACTTTTTTGACTGTTTTTTCAAAAATTTGCCTGCGGCGCAGAAACTTTTGCCAAAATAGGGGCAAAACAGTGCTTGGGGAGAGCTCGAAAAATCAATTTAGTCGACCTAAAAAAAAGGTCGTCAAAATTTTGGAAAATTTTTCGAAAATCCGCCCCCCCCCCCCTCGAGAAAATCCTAGATCCGCCCCTGCACACACACACACACACACAGACACACACACACACACACACACACACACACACACAAAAACAATTTTCGTTAGGTAAATATTTTTAAAAAAATCATAAATGTTTGTCTCGAGTTAGCTGAGAAAAGTTCATTTTGAACCTAGTAAGAAAATAGGATGTTAAATTAAAACGGAACAAAATTAATGAAGTGGTAGCAAATCTGACAATACTTGAGCAGTCACGTTGAGCCGATATATCATAGGTTGAGTCATTACATCATATTTTGAGCCAATATATCATAGCCGAACAAGATGCACGTTGAGCAAAAATAACAGGCTGAAACCTTTCAAGCCTATTGAATATAAAAACCCTACCAGACAAATAAAACCTTCATTTAAAAGTCATAACTCTGCCCACTTAACTGACTTGATAGACCCCAAAGAATACATTGACAGGGATACTAAAACACAAATCCACAAATTGCTACACACAAGAATAGTTTCCAAGTAAGCGCAACTACATCTAAACTCCCTCTTCACCAAAAATACTCACTAAAACCACCCACTAAGATCTTAAACCGAATTATATAACTCAACCGATAGGTCCGTTCCGGCCTTGCCCAATAACGCACTGCTTACTCCCCTCTACTCAATTTCTACCTCAACAGACTAGATCCAACCATCATCAATAAATGTCTCAAAATCTTCAACACACCTCGCGACACCTACCACTTCAAATGTGCCCAAAACAATTTCACTCTGGTCCATCTAATTGAGGCTTCTGCCTTCCTCAGGTTGAACCCTCAAGTACCTCAGTCGAGCACGCTCATAATGGCCAGCGCCGACTCAACGCTGGATCATAGCTCTGGCTATGAAACCAAAACCTTTCCTCTGTCTGGTGTTCCGCAGATACGGCATAGACAAAATATACACCGCCATCATAGCTCCCTTATAACTTCCCCCTTTTGACGGCTTGGTTTTCAACGAAACGGGCACCTCAGCCAGAATCACAGGATGTCTCAATTACTAAAATCGAGCCTCTTTCTACGGAAAGACACCCCACCCCGGCGGTGGCCACACTGTGAGACTGAGACGAGATGAAACTACCAACATCCGTCCCCAGGAAGTACTGAAAATAGCCACAACTAAGACAACCTTCTGTACGCAGAAGTACTGAACAATCGCTCAAACAATTCCAGACGCAGTAAAATCAACCTTTCTAAACGAACAAGAAAACTTTCAGACGAAACCGGTGCCCAAAAACGAGGAAACTACAACAACAACAACAACACTAAATAGATCAAGATTCATCTCAAATCATACCAAATTGGAGTTGGTACGTTTATAACACACACACACTCAAAAAAAACTTCAAACAAGGGTTTTTAAAGTACAAATACGCTCAAATACAAGCAGTTGGTTGACAAAAAAATACAGATTTGTGAAAATGATTCGGTGATTCTATTGGACAAGTTGTTTACCTGGAAAAAAATTTTCTCATTAGAGAATTCTTGCTAATCGCAAGCGTAAGCATTTCGTGAGCTCTGACATGCGCATGTTATACTTATAACTTGCATGCATTTAACGATATTTTATAACGCGCGTAAAATTTCTACCTTTCATCCTCGTTTCTGTAAGAAAGTGAAAAAAACTTAATTGATCTATTTAATGAGGCCCTCAGATACTGAATACAGTACTGATTTATTTGATCAGATACTGAATACACTACAAACATATTTGATCTATTTAATGAGGCTCTCAGATACTGTTTGGGTAGTATTCACAAGAGTATACTAACCAAACAAAACCGGTCGCGTATTTTCTTAAACAATTCATCTTCGTGATTAATTTTGAGATAATAACACTCAAAGGGGAGAAAAAATTTGCAATTTAGACATTTTGTCGCCAAAATAATTGTTTAATTTGCTGTTGCAGACATTTTGGCGCCGAAATTGGAGTGATTTTCTTTGAAAATTAGCGTCAGTAATTTCCCGCTCTTTAGAAAATGCGTGTAAATTATTGAATTATTCTGAAATTTTCCCGCCTTTTTCGGCACTGTTGAACTTCGGCCCTGTTGAACGCCCTTCTATTTATTCCCATTATTTTTCCGACTTTCGATACGAAAGTAACGGAATATTTGTGCTCGGGGTGGGTTTTTTTTTTCTTCAGACAAATTTCGACTTTTTAACTAACCATTTTTGACGGAATTTTTTATATCATTCGAAAGCCATTGTTGTCCTGAGCTTAAATTTTAAAAAATATTTCACCTGTGATCATTTTGCGTAAAGTTATGAGGGTTTAAAGATTGCCATTTTGACCAATTTGGGACAATTAACGCGCGATATAATTCGCGCTATTAACGCGAAAGCGGAGATTTAATCCGTCTTATAAATCGTTCCAAATTGTTTGAACGAAGCTTATTTGCCATAATTGATTTGTTACAAGGAACGAAATCTATCTTTTTGTACTTTATCTGGCGTGTGGGGGGATGGTTTTCATAAAAAATTTCAAATTAAAAAAAAAAAATTTCATTTTATTTTATGTCATTTTATTTTTTATGTTATTACTGCTGCTCCATGTACCTTAAAAGGCAGTCGGAACATTCAGAACTTCGCACTGTTACGAGCAGTCTTGTTGTTCCGACTTTCGATACGAAAGTAACGGAATATTTGTGCTCGGGGTGGGTTTTTTTTTCTTCAGACAAATTTCGACTTTTTAACTAGCCATTTTTGACGGAATTTTTTTTTATCATTCGAAAGCCATTGTTGTCCTGAACTTAATATTGAAAAGATATTTCACCTGTGATCATTTTTCGTAAAGTTATGAGGGTTTAAAGATTGCCCTTTTGACCAATTTGGGACAATTAACGCGCGACATAATTCGCGCTATTAACGCGTAAGCGGAGATTTAATCCGTCTTATAAATCGTTCCAAATTGGTTGAACGAAGCTTATTTGCCATAATTGATTTGCTACAAGGAACGAAATCTATCTTTTTGTACTTTATATGTCGTGTGGGGGGTTTCAATTTTTTTTAACCCCCCACATGTCGTGTGGGGGGTTTCAATTTTTCAATAAAAAAAAGTTTTCAATTTTTTTTAACATTTAGTTTTTCAATGTTATTACTACTCCACCTTAAAAGGCAGTCGGAACATTCAGGGCTTCGCCCTGATACGAGCAGTCTTGTTGACTTTTATAACTTAAATTTTGGGCAAATTAATTCGAATTTGTGTTCGAGCATGACTGCCGTTTAACCGAATATAAACTCATTTACGGTCAGGTCAGTCAAGTTAGCACGACGAAAATAGGAACAATTCGAAGCAGAATCGCATTGAAAATTTCGATCTGATTCGGATCTAAAAGAGAAAAATTTTGCCCGCCTCCCACCATTCTCCCTTCTCGACACCGAAACTTTTCATATTTTTTTTTTGAAACTCGAATATTTATGTGAAGTGTGAAAGGTGTTAACAGTAGTGTGAACTCTTTTGAAAGTCATGCCCGGGCCCGGCCCGTAAAAAGCCCGGGCTCGGTTCCAACTCTGATTATTACTGAAGCTCGAATATTAGACAAAGAGCCCGACACTGTCTGACTTTTATTAGAGGTTCCGGGATTTGGATAAAAACACACCTAAATCCGAAGTTCCTCCACACCGCATTCGGTGGCCGGAGCAAAAAAAAGAAATACAAAAAAAACTTACCAGAAAAAGCAGCGCTTATATAATTCCATGCATCAATAACTCTTCAATTTATTGTTCGTTTCAGTCAAAGAGACAAAAACTCTCTTGAGAGCCTATGGCATACAGGGCTAACGACATCAGCAACAACAATAACAACTAAGACCTACTTGAGAGCGGGGTCGTCCTTTTTGATCTCAGAGTCGAGATCAACACATGAGACACAGTGGAGACTGTTCGAGGGGAGGAGCCGGAGGAGTATACAGGAGCAGGTGGGACATACACTGTCCAACATCCTGTGTCCCTTCAGCAAGTATTGACCCATGATCTTGCTCACCTAAATCATATAAACACATTGCCAAACAGAGCAAAAAAAATAGAAAATTGAGTCTACAGGCAGGTTGAGTGTCAATTATTTCAATCTTAAAACTTTTTTCTAAAAAAAGATGTCACCTTAAAACTCTGAATTTTGGGATACTCTACGATTGTCACCTTTTGATAGAACTAACCCAATATGAGAAAAACAAATGAAAGAGTAATTCTTTCATTCTGCTTTTATTTAAAATAAATTTTCTTTCGCTCTGACCTCCTTCAAAGTCTCTTAATTTGCGTTATTTGAAAACCTCGATCGTCAATCTATAATTTTACAGGCTGACTTTCAACTCCTATTCAACCAGCATGTTGCAGTATTTGGACAACCCCGTATTCATGCTCGTCAGTAAGCAGACAAAACTATAGTAACCAATCGGAATCGAGACAAGGAATAAACTAATAACTAATAATTACTTCTTTCGTAAGTTTGCTTTCTCATCTCGATTCTGATTGGTTAATATAGTGTTTGTCTGCTTAGTGACGAGTATGATTGCACGGTTGTCTAAATACAGACCGCACTCCTATGCAAACACACCTTGTCGCTCCTCTCTCTCCTCGCCTGGATCACTTTCATCTCTGCCTCGGTGGGCGGGTGCCACTCTTCCTCGTCCCATCCGCCATTATTATCACCGCCGCAGTCACCTTCCATTTCAAATACAATTTGATCTGAAATTCAATCACATATGCACGCTTTTCAAATAAAATTTGATCTGAAATTCAATCAGAAATGCACGCTTTTCAAATACAATTTGATCTGAAATTCAATCACAAATGCACGCTTTTCAAATAAAATTTGATCTGAAATTCAATCAGAAATACTTGTTGTTGTGGTCGAAGATTTTGAAAATTGCTCAAAAACGCCCCATGTCGTTTACAAAATGACGTGCAAAGCGAAGAAATTGGCACATTACAATAAAAATTACGAAGCGACATTACAATAAACTGAAATCCACTGTCAAAAAATGAACCCATAATTACAAATATGGCTCTTTCACAACTTATTGATCGCAAGCTTTTTTGCTCTAAGCTACGTCCTTTTTTCTGAATGTGCTAAAATATGATTGAAAGACCTGCTTTAAGATATAAAAAATAATGATTTTCTGATAATTTACAGACAAAGCGGAGCTTCGCACCACTTGCGAAACAACATAAAATAGCAGTGCAGGCTAGCAGACAGGAAAAGAAAGCCAATCAGTCCCAAAAAAATAGAAAATGAAACACTTCCAAAACCGCAGCTTAAATAATTTTTTGTCTGGAATCATGTTCTATTTGTGGAAAAACAGGTCTAGAAACACAATCGACGGCAAGTAATGAAAATTCAAAATATATTTCACAAACGGCAACTGAGCCGACGAAACTTAGATAATTTCCCGTAAAACCTAAAATATCATTGCTGTCATGAAAAAACTTTTAAGTATAAATTCTATTCTAAAAATTTAGGCATTTTGTGCGATCCGGAATGAAGCATAAAACTTATGCTTCGTTTGAAATGAACCCAAATTAGGTAATTAAGCCGATAAAATACAAGCCTAAATCATTTAAGCCGATTAAAGTTTTTACGGCAAAATGTCAAGGCTAGTAAAATTAAAAATTGCAGGAGTAATTCAATTTACTAAATTTAACTACAATGAAAATTGCGTACAAAAAATTGCGTCAATTCTACGATGTGGCAACTAAGCCGACAAAACATAAGCAGACAAATATTATGCCGACATTTTTTGGAAAGGAATATTTCCAGTCTGAAAGAAATTCTTCGCTTCCAGGCTAAGCTAAGTGCCGGAAACACTTGGATGTTTGAATTTATTAAGAACCAAGATACTAGTGATTCTGTTAAACAAGTTGTTATCCCGAAGAGTCTTTATTCTAGTTTGATAATGCAAGCGTAATTACATTGAAACTCTATATTTGGTGCTAACTCTAGGTACATGTATACGGTCTAATTCTCAGTGCATGTATGCTAGACGACACGGTCCAGATAATCGTCTAGTTAAAGCCACGTATTTTCTTTTGATACTTTCGCAAGCTATTACATAAAAATACTTGTAGCTAGACAAGAGAATGTTGTCTTTTTCAAATACCATTATTACAGTTACAACACTCTCTTTCTTGAATCTTGACGCGCAAATCAAAAGGTTCATTATTTATCAATCGACTCTCTTTGATAGAAGAAAAAAAATTAGATGGTTCAAAAGCTCGTTACTTTGATTTAAATCATTTTTCAACACACATCATTTACTGACATATCTAAACTACAGCTGACTTTTTGAACACCCGCAATGAATTCGAAAGGTAATTTATTCACAAGTGCAACATAAATATCTAGCCCGCTTTTAGAGATAGTAGAATGTTTTGAACAGCTTACAACAGCTTGCTGTATTTAGCTGATTTTCTTAATCGGGCCATCGCATTAATTTTCGAAAAGGCCGAATAAAATTTTCTAGCATATTTGGTCGTCAGTTTCAATAACAAAACTTAAATATTTTAGCCTCCAGTCTCAGAGAGCTTCTTGACAAAAACAGAGCTGCAACCAAAAAGGAGAAAGGCACATCAGATGATTCAAGAACACAAGCAAGTCAGAACCCAAAATCACCCAGCAGAACTGAACAAGTGGAAAAACAGACAGAGCACGACTATGACCAACTCAACAAAACAAATGGCACAAAAAATCAACACGCCGACAGCCACGATTGCGATGAAATTGCCCTCAAAGGTTTTTTTTATATCATTGTCTCATTAAGGCCGGATCAACGGGGGTAAAATTTTGAAAGATTTATCGATCTTTTTAGAGCATTTTTCCAAAAAATGTCACGAGAAAATCCACAACATTCGAACTCAGTACGACTTTCGTGAGAATTGAAAATTACAGCGAGTTGACTACACAATTTTCAAGCATTACAACAGAATTTGCAGAAAATCTATAAAACTCTGAAAGCCGAATTCAACCCATTTAATTCAATTTTGCCAAAAATAAAAACCGTACGGAACGGTAAGAGAGCTGAACCACAACATAAAAGATAAAAATTTTAAAAGACGCACTTTGAATAAAAAATACACAAAAATTCAAATTTTTCAGAACATTTCAACCACTCTTGAACTTCGTGCAGCACCTGCCAATTACCCTCGCAGACGAATTTCTCAGAACAAAACTCTTGCTAAGTTGCTTTGAGCTACCTGCACACACTGTCAGATAATAAAATCAGAAACCACGCATTAAATCATAATACTAAAAAACACCCTGAAAAAATTCCGACAAAAATTAGTATGAAATCAATTAAGCCTACAAAAAACATGGTCAACAGACAGTTGGGAAAACGTCAATGAACAGAAGTAAACAGAAAAAAAGGATGGTTTACTTTTTAAGTAAAAATAAACTTTCGATTTTCAAAAAAAAAAAGATGGCCTTAGACTCTTGTAATTTCTTTAACAATTTATAATTGAAATTTTTTTTTTGATAAAATGAACCCAATTTGAGACAAAGAGGCGAAGCTGTACTTCTCAAACACTTGCGAGAACACGACCAAAAGGCAGCTCTAGAAAAAGCAATCAGAAAAAAATAGAAATCAGGCTCGAATTAGCAAAAACTCGGCGAGGTCTAGAATTCGATCTGCCACCTACTGCAATCAAAAGGTTTTGAGTCTCACGCACTATCCACTCAGCCACGCAAGCTTAACAACCGAAAAACACTAGCCACGAATAAAGCAGCCAAAAGTGGCACAATTTTTGTGACTAAGGTTGGAAAAAAAGAAGGTTTGTACTAATAAATTCGCTTCGCCGTGTATTAGTACACAGAATCAATGGTTAAAATTTTCATTTCGCTGGGAAATTCGAATATTTAATTCCATTTTCGAAACTTGAAGTCGATCCTTTTTTGTGACCTTACGCTTTCACTGTTCGATAGGGGCTTTTGCCTTGTCTTTAACGAAGGAAACGAACTGAACTTGAAAACAAATCAAGAATCATACAGCGACAGAGTAATTTTGAGCCTGAACAAATTTGAAGACTTTTCCTAAAAAAACAAAGAAAAAATCATCACGACTTTTATAAGAGTCTGAACTACGTTCATCTACTCTTAATCAAATTACATCGGAAAATTTTTTAAGCGTTAGTCTCAGTAATTTATTAACTCTAGACACAGAAACTCTACCCAGAACTAGAGCTGCTTAAAAAGCAACTAGATGCAAGCTGGAGATCTTCTGAAATTAGAGATCATGTGAACAAAGTTACTTACGGGAAAAAGTATAGTACCCGACTGCAATAACTAGCTTCGTGCAATACCTAGCAATATCACGAGGGTAACGAGTAAGATAACACTGAATGTATGAAACCAAAATTCCTCAGTAAAAACATAGGCGCTACGCGCAATACACCGAAGGCATAGAAAGTGAAGCAAAAACCAAACAACTTGAACAATTGAACAACTAATAATTGAAGAATAACAGTTCTAGAACAAAAAATCGTACTAATACATGTATACACCAAAATTTTGCTATATCGAGAAAGAGCCTGAAATAACAGTTCTAGAACTAAAAATCGTACTAACACATGTATAGGTTAAATTTTTGATATATCAACGAAGATCATAAAATAACACTTCTAGAACTAAAAATCGTACTAACACATGTATACACCAAAATTTTGCTATATTGGCAAAGATCATGAAATAACAGTTCGAGAGCTAAAAATCGTACTAACACATATATACGTCAAATTTTTGCTATATTGACAAAGATCATGGAATAACAGTTCTAGAGCTAAAAATCGTACTAACACATGTATACACCAAAATTTTGCTATATTGACAAAGATCATGGGATAACAGTTCGAGAACTAAAAATGGTACTAACAGCAGCCTTTACTCCGTAATCACATCCACCAATTTCGATTGTTTCACCAATTGTGACTTCTGCTCTAGAGTAAACGCGATTGCCAGCGACAAACATGTAACGCGCAATCAGCAAAACAACAGTATTTGCAATATGGGTTGGTTCTTTAGTTGTTATTGCCCTTTCTGAGATACACGTGGAATTTGGACATGTTACATTAACGGCTTGGTTGGCGAAGTGATTGACCACAAGCTCCTGCAGAAGTTGACCATTGCGTGGAGGACTTAAAACTAACGCAGAAGTAGTTTCAGGTCTTCTCCATGACACATTACACAGACAACACGTGAAATTATCTGAATACGATATTTCAAAGAAATTCCATTGGCCCTCAGATTTAAATGCATTGATAATTGACAGTAGTACCTCGGAAGCATCGTGCTGATGTCCATAGGTATATGAGAAGCTGTAATTCAAATCAAGATGCTGGAGAATTTTAATTTTGGAAGTAGACGCATTGATGAAAAAGTTTTCTGTGGACAGCATTTGACAAAATATCTCTTTCACAGTTGAAATTAACACGCCACCATGGTCAAATTCAGTAAGTCTACTGAGCCGATCTCTGATGCAAGCGCTTGACAACAAAAGCTGAAGAACAGAATTGAGATAGCAACTGTTGTCATCATTTGCAATGCCCGTGGGTCGAAATGGCTCCATTACATGACTGAAAATAGAAGTAACATAAAATTTAACATTTTGCTTTACGTTATTGAGTCCACGCTCCAACAAATTTTTTTTGAGAAATACAAAAGCAAATTTGAAAATTAATTACCGGACAGATGTAACTATAGATAAATCTTTAAAATAAATAATTTAAAATCATTTTTGATGTAGCTGCAACCCAAAAGCAAGTGGACAAATCTCGTTGGCAGCGTTCCCTATAAATCGTTGTACGCTAATTGGTGATATACAGATCTTTCTGAAAATATCCTAAACAGAACAATAAATTGAAAATCATTTTTTGCTTTTAACTACATAGCTAAGAAGTAAAACATCAAATTTCACAATCAAACAACAAAGACGCTAACTAAATAAATAAATAAATGAACGAACAAACCAACAAATGAACGAACAAACCAAAAATAAATAAACATAAATAAATAAATGAATAAATAAATACATACATGAATAATAAATAAAAGCAAAACTAAATGAAAGAAAATAATTAAATAAATATAGCAAAAAATATCAACGAATAAACAAAACACACCTGATAAATAAATAAACAATAAAAAAATAAATCAATAAATAAATAAATAAACGCAAAACTGAAATGTACAAATAATTAAATTAACATGAAAAAATATATATCTCATGAACAAATAACCAAACAAACAGACCCATAATATAAATAAATGAAAGTAAATGAATTAAATAAATACACATACATAAATAATAAAAGCAAAACTAAATGAAAGAAAGAATAATTAAATAAATATAGAAATAAATATCAACAAATAAACAAAACACACCTGATAAATAAATAAGCAATAAAAAAATAAATCAATACATAAATAAATAAATAAATACATAAATGAATACATAAATAAATAAATATATAAATAAATAAAAGCAAAAGTGAAATGTACAAATAATTAAATAGACATGAAAAAATATATATGAACAAATAACCAAACAAACAGACCCATAATATGAATAAATGAAAATAAATAAATGAAATAAATACACATACATAAATAATAAAAGCAAAACTAAATGAAATAAAGAATAATTAAATAAATATAGAAATAAATATCAACAAATAAACAAAACACACCTGATAAATAAATAAGCAATAAAAAAATAAATCAATACATAAATAAATAAATAAATAAATACATAAATAAATACATAAATAAATACATAAATAAATAAATAAATAAATAAATAAAAGCAAAAGTGAAATGTACAAATAATTAAATAGACATGAAAAAATATATATGAAAAAATAACCAAACAAACGGACCCATAATATAAATAAATGAAAATAAATAAATTAAATAAATACACACGCAGAAATAATAAAAGCAAAACTAAATGAAAGAAAGAATAATTAAATAAATAAACAAAACACGTGATAAAAATAAACAAAAATAAATATGTACATAAATAAATTATAAATAAATACAAGCAAACTAAACATAATTAAATAAATAGAAGAACAGATAATTAAATAAATAAAGATGAACAAATAAAGAAACAAACATACGCAATCACGTGACATAGCGCGATATAGTCCAGCCCACATGATAATTGATAACTGTGGACGTTATTTGTCCACACTTGACAACAGACAACATTAAAAAAAAACCCCGTTACACGATACCATAACACCTTGACTAAAGTCTTCGGTGTAATCATCTAAATATTTCAAATCACGACTGAAATGGCTTCTAAAGAACTTGAAACCAGATGTTTCAGGGGTACAAAAAACTGCGAAAAAAATCTCGGTAATAAAAGGTCAACAAATTGGGTAAAAACATTCAGGGTTACATCAATGTAATACTTTTCATGGTTTTAGCACAGGTTTTGAGAGCTTTTCTGAAACCCAAAAAGACGAAAAAAACTTCATCTCCAGTGGAAGTGGATCTGAATTGTGTGCTAAAAGCAGAGCCTTGTATTGAACAGGTAATTTGAAAATAGATTAAAATACCTTAATTTTAAAATACTACACAATTTCATTATTCAAAAGCGTACAGAAACAAACAACAGATTAATTTTGGGCTGCGCAGCCGTTTAAATTTCAAAGAGAACCTACGGCGTAATAAAAACCAAATATGATTCGAAAAAAAAATCCAGAAAAAACCTCCACGAGCAGCATTGGGTCTTATTCAAGGCTTAATCAAAACAAAAGCTTCAGTTATTAGTATATTGAGTTTAGTTTTTTGACGTTTAAGTTAAGCTGATGTTAATTCTCCAGGCACAGATTTCAACTTCAATGTAACTCTTCTCGAAAAATTGCCAGTACACTCTTGAGAATTCTTTTTACTCAGATTCTGGAAAGTAACAATTGGTAATATATGAATATTCTTATGCATGCGCATTACATTGTTTACTTTAAAAAAGTCTAACTATTTCTCATATTTAGCAGCAGGATGACACCTTAGAGGCTTCAAAAGACCTCCCTGAAATCAAAAACAAACAACAAAACATCGATTCCGAGTTGAACAACTTTCAAATTAATGAACTGGAAACTCTACGAAACGAAAACAAAAATTTGGCTTCAGAGGTTGCAGAATTGAAGATGGCATTGAAAAACCAAATCGAACACAATGAAAAACAACAGAACGAAATGACGTCAAGTATCAAAAGCCTTCAAGATACTGTTCAAATCTTGACAAATGAAATAGGTATACAGAATAAACAGAAGAAAACTCTCGAAACAGGAAAAGATCTAGCATGTATCAAGAAACAAATGTCAATTTTGGATACTAAACTTGAAGCAGTTGTAAAATTCAGCGATAAAATTGACAATTTTCGCGAAGAATTCGATCAGTTTCAGACTGCATCAAAAACCCAGGTTGACGCCAACTTTTGTCAGCTTTCAACTGAAATTAACAAGCAGTTGGATTATCAACAAGATGTCATTGACTTGCTGCGGGAAATTAAAGATACGATTGATTCGTCGTCTTCCTCCTCAACTTGCCTTGAATGCTCGACGCAGAGGCCCGACATAAGCCAGAAAGAAAAAGCTGTTGAATCATTAACTAATTCTATGCAAAGTCTAATTGATTGGATAGGAAAAACAACGGACGACATTCGAGAGACAAATGAACGCTCGTTTTCATTGCTCTCAGAAGAGAACAAGCACTTGCGACACAAACTGAGGAGGGAAAGGGGAGATCACATTGGGCTTCTCAATTTCCAACAATTGCCTGGGAGCAGTGATGCGGAAATGAAAAATGAGTACGAAAAACAGTTGATAGCATGCACTGCAGTTCTTAAACTAATAAGAGGAACAGTGCTGACTTGGTGAAACAAAATCATTATTTCATACTAACATTTATTGCTTCGAAATTGTTAATAAAACCTTTAATATGCACTTCTAAAACAGCCAAAATTGCGCTGCCCTCCCACCATTCACGATGGAAATATTAATGCAACTTATTAAACAAAAATTGGAAATCTAACTAAGAATCGCCCGTTGCCGTGCAAGTAGCGTAGAAAGTTTCGACCAGCTATTTTGAAAAAGGTAAGTTAATTGTTTTCCACCTTTCGATATCAGCTCTTCTGAGGTTTTACTTTCCTTCATGATTAACGAAAAAACTTAAATTATACGCGTTTTTAACAAATTATTAAAAACCGCAGATAATGAAAAAAGATCTACACCCTTTGAGTGAACTGACCACACCCAATTACAGGTATGTAAATTTCAAATTTCAAAATATTGTACTCAAGTTTTTTTCCTTATACTTTCAAAAACCATAAAATTCTGTGAAGTTCTTTGAAAAAAATCCATATCTCGGAAACTAAAAACAAATGCGCAGTTGATATTGTTATTGCTCCTTGGACTGTCGGGAGAGTATCTCCGCAAGTTCTTCTACGACTAGTAGGGGATTTTTCCACAAATCTTCAATGGTGGCAGATATAGGGTTGGCCGGGCAGTTGAACAGATGTTGGCAGTCTTAAATGCTGGAGTTGCATTTGCTGCAGAGGTCTGATTCAAGGTCCGGTTGTAGTCTGTGTCTGGTTTCGGCTAGTTTCCATGAGAAACCTGATCTAAGCTGACACAAGACTCTTCTGTCGTAGTGGCTGAGTTCTTCTTCATCTTTCGAGATCTCAGGAATATTTGTAAAATTAATTATAACTATAACTTTGATTTCAACTTTGAAAAAACTTCATATCTCGAAAACTAAAAATATTTGAGCAGTCAAATTTAGAAGCAAAATTTGCCACTACTGATAGAAACCGGATAGAGCCTCACTATAGAGATGGAAACTTCAAACTTTTGTGAAACTTCTTATTTCTAAGTTTTATGAAAAACTCTGAAAAAATTCCTTAAACCGTCATATCTTGAAAACTATAAGGATTTGAGCAGTCATAATTGAGTACCCTCAGAGTTAAGATGTAGATAACAAAAAAGATAAAGATCTTTCAGTATTTTTAAAATCAAGTTTTTTTTGAAAACTTTTGATAAACAAAATCATAAAAAACGTCATATTTCGAAAACTCCAAGGATTTGAGAGGTGAGATTTGAATACAAGATCCCTGAGAATACCCTGACAGCACCCAAAATTAGGGTTGAGAATATCAAACAGTGATATTTTCCAAATTCAAGTTTGTTTATTTCACAATTGATGAAATAATCTTTGACATCAAACTGCAAAATGGAAAAAAAAGATTAACCATTTTCGTTGAACATGCAAAAATCTAACAATGAAAAAAGTTAAACATGGTAAGATAGTGAAGCCCGCTTTCAAAAATATAATAATAAGTTATTGTTATTGGCCGAATGGAAATATTTTCAGATATGCAATTGAACGTCAGGTTTCGAGAAATTTTTAGGAGTAAAATGAATAATAATGTAAATTAGCTGTTAATTAACATCATGGAAAATAGATCTGAAAGTTCTCCAAACAAACGTGAAGCTTTTCCATGATACTTTAATATAGGTTGTTACAGGTGGATCTTCTTTAAATATTAATAGAAAATTGTTCCTGAATGTGATCTGCACTCAAAATAGTTTTAACACAGAGGCGAAGTTGCACTTGGCATAGACGAGCAAAACTCTGATCGACAACGCTACTGAGAAAAACTGAACGATGTAACATACGCTCATACATTACACATTGACGGAGCGTAGGAAAAGTCACTATCGTTGACTGGCTGATGTTAGTTACCCTATTCGTACTGGTTTTAAACATTCTTGACCTAGCCAAGTGTTTTTCTGGTCTGTTCAAGGGTTAACTATTATTTTAGCAGTTTTAGGTCAGCAGCCAAACGACTTCTAATCAGCTTTCGTTTGCATGCGAAAATAATTTAATGTATGCGTTTTAGCTCTGAATTGACATCATGGCAAATGGAAGTGAAAGCTTTCCCATACAAACCTGAAGCTTTCAGATCTTACTTTTCCATAGGTTGTGTACGTGGCCTGATATCTGGAAAACTTCGCATATCACCCTTTTACACAAATCTGGCTCGCGTTGGCATGTCGAAAAGTACCGTCGAAAAGTACCGTCCAATTAGAATCTGTTCCATGTTGTCGCTTATACTTGAAAGCAATGTTCGATTTTATCTAACCCAAAGTTAATAAATTAATCAAGAAAGAACAACACGGCTCGGTGAAGGTCCGCAGCACAGTCACTCACATTATATTTTATCTGAATCAAGTTTGCTATTCTCTGGATTGGAACCTCCCTTCTCTATCCGCCTACTTCGACTTAAGAAAGCTTTTGATTCCGTCCCCATAATCTGCTTCTGTCTAAACTTGAAACATTTGGCTTCTGCGCTGGTTTTCTGAGAATTCTAGATTCTTACCTTTTCAACAGGTTTCAAAGAGTTAAAATAAGAAAGTTTCTCATCATTGTTAGCAGTCTCCTCGGGTGCTCCATATAGGATTGTTCTGGGCCAACAACTTTTCATCCTTCTTATTTATGTTATGACCGATGCTGTTCAAAACGGGTCTTACTTTCTCTTTGCCGATGACCCGAAATGTAACATTCGTCTACTGCAGTCACACATGAGGCTTAAGAAAAATAGGCCCTATAACCACTGGCTCAAGGGTCAGGGACACTATCTCTTGTGTTTTTCTACCTCAAGAACGGTCGGAGCCAGTTCGGTTCGCTTGTGACATGAGACTACGACCCGTTACAGCTTAAAGGCTACTACTAAAATATCCCCCCACTCTAGAATTAGAAACGTCCCCATACTTAGGTCTCTAGATACCCAAAATACATGAACGCCGTTAAAAACCGGGTTGGAACAATCCGTTAAGTTACTTTTTATTAGACAGTGGAACTTTGATCCATTTCAGATGGATCAACCTAAAACTCGCCTTACCTCAACATAACAATTATAAAACACACTCTAGGAATTTAAATTAAGTACTCACATTGTAGCACGCTCAAGAACCAGGAAGTAAATAAGTCGGTAGACAACTCAAGAATTAATAAAGTAACTAATATGAGTTTAATGTTGGTCAGTTTTAACAACAAGAACAAGTTTTTACTCTAGACTGCAAGTTCTCGTGAACCATTGGGACACTCTAGCTGTCCACCTTTCCACCGAAGGTTCACTCTGGTCCAGTCAATAATAGTATTCCAATCGTAATAATCCAACTCGAGGGAATGCTCTCGTCTCTGTCACAGATGGGACAGCTCTACTCTAGGTTATTATTGCTTTCGAAATTGCGAATAGCAATTTCCCACCGATTTTTCTAGCAACTTTCCCGCGATTGTTACTCAATTGTTCTGAAATTGTTCTGATCTCTTTTTCTGATTTTCAGTTCTCGCGAGAAAATCGTGCATGACAGGTTCCATTCGAAATTTTGAAAAATTAAATTTCACTCCAAAATCAAGTGTTTTTTTCTTCTCTCAAGGTCAAACTTCCAAATATGACCGACTGGCACATACTCCCCGGACTCGAGATCGATGTCCTCATCGCGCGCTGTCTTCTGCCAGTGAGTCCCAGAAAAACCGAGTGTTGCTCAAGATACAGTGCCAGTGGTCATTTACAGAAGTTTGCAGCAGATTTAAGCTTATCTACACCCCAAAATTCACAGCCATTTAAAATTTTCACGCTATTGCTAAACAGCAACCAAAATCTGCATACACCTGCACCCTTGAATTTTCGCTTTTCAAGCCAATCATTTTAAAATCTCTTTTGTCCTTTTCAATCAGGAAATTGTCATGCAGCATTTCGATTTATATAATAAATATAGTATATTAGTATCAATATTTGCTTTGTTAAAATTTCTTTTTCGTGAATCCAAGTTTCACTCGGATCCACGCTCAAGCCCCCCTTCCCTCTCAAGACTCAAGATCCATCCGATTTGCCCATTCATCTCGTACTCTTCGCCTTGGAGATACTGCATCCTGAAGTGCTAGATGCGGCAAACTGTCTCAACAGTTCCTCTTCATCATCGGAACTAATCACAATCTCCTCCCAAGCCTTCAGCTGTTCATAGGATCGCATCCATTCTCTCTGCTCCTGCAATCTCTTTGCTTGGTTGGGTAGTGCCTTCACCCTAGCTTCTCGGTTCAAGCAAAAGGAGTTGTGCAGGCTCAAGCTCACGTTCTTCGCCAGGTCTTCCTCTAGTATCGACTCCCTCGCTTTGGTATTGTCTCTAGACATCTTACCCACTCTTTTCCATCCTGTCGTGATCGCATTACGATGGGTTAGCAGGGGTCTCTTGAAAGCTTCCGGCCCAATCTCGGCCTGGAACTGTCGATACTCTTTTTGATGTTTTCTCATGTGATCTTTCGTTGTCATGTACAACCAAGACGTCAGTGTCGCCCGAAACCATGGAAAGTACCTCAAGCGACTCCATACGTGCCTGACTTCCGTCGGTATGGCGAATACTTTGCACGCAGTCTCAAACAACTCGAGTCTCCTGCTGTAGTCTATCGCGTATATTGACTCAGCCGTTGGCGTCGTCGCCTCCCGATACTTCGTTATATTCTCTTCTATCCATCTCAGAGCTAACATCGTACTCACTACTAAGAGCGTCACCTTCTGCCGGTGATCCGGTAGTCCGATCGACCGAATCTCTTCCACATCCCATACCAGGCAAAGGTTCTTGTGATCTGGATACCACACCGTTTGTGCCAAACAGTGGCATGGGCATTCCCCATGAGAGATCTCAATGCTCCTGAGATTACGCTCCCCTGAGGCTTCCAAGAGAGGCTCAAGCTCCATCATTTTCTCGTGCATCGTGTCGTTGTCTTCCAGGTTCGGAGTACTTCCCACAGGTTTCCCGATCACGTTTTGTCTCTCGTGATCGCTTGTGTTTTCTCTTTCCATCTTCAGAAGATCTTCT